TGCGGGCACCAGCGCTGGCACCCCCTGCCAACTCCAGCTGCGGGACGGGAGCCGGACACAGGTGACCAAGATGCTGTGTAAGTGTCGCTGCAAGAAGAGGGCCGAGCTGGGCTCCGGGTGTGTGTGTGTGTGTGTGTCTGTCTGTCTGCTCCAACATGTATGTAGACCCTTTTATTTTCATGATTTCTGGTATTTTGGGACAAGGTCTCACTATGTAGTTCAGGTTGGTATTGAAGTCACCGTGTAGCCCAGGCTGGCCTCAAAGTCACTGCCATCCTCCTGCCTCAGCCTCCTGAAAGCTGGGACTACCAGTGTGCACCACCACGCCTGGCCTGAAACCTTTTAGATTACCCTGCTGGCAGATGCCCTGAGATAAATGTTAACAGCATAGCCACTTCCTTGTTTCTGGGGCACAAGACCTGACACCAACTAATTCATTCAAGGAAAAGCATTTTGGTCACTTTTTTTGAAATTTCTGTCCATGTTTAGCAGGCTTAAACACAGAGGCCTGGCGGAAGGACCTGGGCAGAGGACGCTGCTCAGAGAGGAGGAGCCGAGGGAGATGGCCTCTAGGTTACACCCGGGGAAACCGCCTCCTGCGCCCAGACCCGACTCCCAGCCACAGGCAGTTTTGCCCCCAGAACCCATTCACCTTCCACAAGCCCCGCCCCTGGGCACATGAGGTGCCCTGAACTGTGTCGTTTGCAGGGTCCTTTGTTGTGAGGGTTTGTTTGTTTTTTGGTAGCTGGGATTGAGCTCTGGTCCTTGCACTTGCAAGGCAGGCAGCAGAACCACTGGGCTATAAATTCCTGGCCCTGTTCTGAGTTATTAAGAATTCACAACATAAGCTGGGCGTGGTGGTGCACCCCTATAATCCCAACACTCAGGAGGCTGAAGCAGGAGGATTGCCATGAGTTCAAAGCCAGTTTGGACTACATAGTGAGTTCAAGGCCAGTCTGAGCTACATAGTGAGACCCTGTTTCCTAAAACCAAAATCGGGGCTGGGATTTAACTCAGTTGTTCCACTGCTTGCCTGGCAAGTGCAAGCACCTGAGTTCAATCTCTGGTACAAAAACAAACAAACAAACAAAAAAAAAAAACAGCAACAAGAAAAGTTATTCAGCTGGGCTGGAGGAGCTGGGTGCGGGCAAGGGGCCAAGGCAGGCATTCACGTATGAGAGTGTGTGTGTGTGTGTGTGTGTGTGTGTGTGTGTGTGTGTCGCCCTCTCTGGCCCATGATCTTCTTTCCCTGGCTTTCTGAGCACCAGCCCCTTCTCCTCTCTGCCGCTAGCTAGGAGCTTGGCCAGCACCCTAAGGGGCCCACTTCCAGACTCCATGGGAGGGGACGGAATCAGGCCAGCAGGTCCCATGGATGGTGGCTGGGCTGGGGCAGGACAGGCAAGTTTCAGGACCTTGTAGGTGGGTGTGTCTGGTGGCCGGGGGACCTGGGGAGCAGGAGAGGCCTTGATGGCCGCCCAGGTACCTTCTCTGTCTGCAGTTGTGCTGGTTGTGGTGTTCGGCATCTGCTGGGCCCCATTCCACGCTGACCGCCTCATGTGGAGCTTCGTGTCGCAGTGGACAGAGGAGCTGGTGTTGGCCTTCCAGTACGTGCACATTGTGTCTGGTGCCTTCTTCTACCTCAGCTCGGCCACCAACCCAGTGCTCTACAGCCTCATGTCCAGCCGCTTCCGGGAGAACTTCCGGGAGGCCCTGGGCCTGGGCCCCCGGGGCCACCACAGAGCCCACCGCGTCTCCTACAGCCTCAGCAGGGTGACCACAGGCAGCATCCTGTGTGACCTGGGATCCCAGGACACAGGACCCAGCCCCTGGCTGAGAACAGTGGCCCTGAGGGCCAGGGAGAGCCCGAGCCCTCCTGAGAGCAGTCCCGAAGCAGCAGCCTCGCCCTGAGGGCCACAAGAGGCCTGGGGACTGCCTGGCCTCTGCTGTGGGGACATCCTTGGGGCCTGCCCCACTCAGCCTTGAGACTGCGACCCGTCCCTTTGTCTTTGTTTTGTTTTGTGAGGCAGGATCTCCCTTTGTAGTACAGGTTGGCCTCCAAACTCTCACTATGTAGCCCAGGCTGGCCTCAAAACTCTCGGTAATACTCCTGCCTCAGCCTCCAGAGTCCTAGGATTACAGGCGTGCACCATTATGCCCAACAAGTGTGTTTTTGAAATCTGAGGACCACAGCAAGAGACAGGAGACCGACACCTGGTCATGCAGGGCCCACACTGGTGGGCATCATTCCGTGTGCTTTACGTCCCTCTGGACCGCAGGTCCCCACCAGAGTTGCCCCTGCAGAACCTGGTGCCTGGTGGAACCGCTGGTGGCCTGGGCACCCTGGAGAGCCCACTACTGCCATCTGGCCTTGGGGCACTCAGCCGTCACCCCCCTTTCTAGGCCTTGGCTCCTGGTCTGTGCGGCAAGAGGCAGGCTGACATCCAGGGTCACGAGGCCACCCACCGTGGTCCTGTGTGCACAGTGGTTGTCACTGGCCACGGACTCAGCCTGCCTTGAGCCGAGAGGATGGACTCGGGGTGATGTGTGCTCCCCAGCTGCATGAGATGACAGGCGGGTGAGGACCTCCAGGAAACCCTGTCCCCTCCAAACTCTGGCAAGCCCTGGGTTCCTGTCCGCCCCAGAGGGGTCACAGGGTGACCTGGGTCACCTGGCAGGTGACTCCTTAGCTCAGCCCCAGGCTCCTAACCCAGGACACGGAGGAGTTGGCAAAGGGTCACTGAGATGTCACTTAATTGTACAAAGAACAAAAATGCATGAGATAAAATGCAGGAAGCGAAAATAATCCAATGTGAAAGCAACTTTTATCATGAGTGGGAAGTTGTTTGCACATTTGCTTTGCAAGATAAAAAGTTCTGGAGACTGGGGGCACAACCATGCCAATATACTTCAAATAATAAACTGCTTGATCACTAGGATGGTATATTTCATCTCATGTCTGTTTTACCATCTTTCAGAAAAGAGAATTAAGCTGCTATGGCAGGGTCTTGGTTACTTTTCTTGTCACTGAGACAAATTACCTGACAACCACAAAGCAAAGGAGGTGAGGGTTATTTTGGCTCGCAGCGTGTAGAGGTTTCAGTCCATAGTCGGTTGGCTCCAACACAGAGGGGAAAGAGCTCATGACAGGGCAGATAGTAACCCCAGCACTTGGGAGGCTGAGGCAGGAGGATTACCTCAAGTTTGAGGCCAGCCTGAAATACATAGTGAGTTCAAGACCAGCCTGAATTACACAGTGAGACCCTGCCTTTTTGTTGTTGTTGTTTCTTTTTGAAATAGGGTCTCACTATGTAGTTGAGGCTGACCTGGAACTCACCATGTAGCCCAGGCTGGTCTCGAACTCACAGCGATCCCCCTGCCTCAGCCTCCTGAGCGCTGGGATTACAGGCATGAACCACCACACCCAGCAAGTGAGACCCTGTTTTAAAAACAGAAACATATCAGCCAACTGCAATGTGCAGAAATTTTTCAAATTCTAATTCTAAAAAATTAGTAAGACCTTTTGGGAGTGAAAAATGAACAGATTTAATAGAATATATGAAAGTCTGTATCTTCCAAGGAACACAACAAAGTGTTTCCAGGTAAAATAACATGATGCCGAGGGTTCACCTTGAAACAGGCCACAAAGGGTGGGGCAGTGGGGCAGGGACAGATATATAAAAAAACAGTCCGATGCAGTGGCCCATGCCTATGATCCCAGATACTCAGGAGGCTGAGGCAGGAAGATCCCAAGTCGAGGACAGCCTGGGAAATTCAGTGAGATTGTTTCAGAATAAAAAATAAAAAGGGCTGGGGATGCAGCTCAGTGTACAGCTGTCATGTGTCTGATCCCCAGTACCCAAAGCAAAAAGGTGGGGGATTCACTGTACATTCTCTCCACTTAATGCCTGGAATGTCCCAATGTAAAATACTTCACGTTTTCAACAGATTTATGTGAATGTCTCTCCAGGAGCCTGTGTGCTTCTCTCAGTAAGTGGAATTCCTCAAGTGAGGAATGAGAATTTCTACCTTTCACGGCAACTGCCAAGTTTCTTTCCAGAAAGAAACACAGTTTGTGTTCTCTTCAGTTTCCACACAATCTCAAAACTCATTTCATGTGTTTTGTTTTAATTAATGTCACTCTATGCTGGGCGTGGTGGCGCATGCTTGTAATCCCAGCACTCAGGTGGCTGAGGCAGGAGGATCACTGAGTTCCAGACCAGCCTGGGCTACATAGTGAGTTCCAGGTCAGTCTCAACTACATAGTGAGACCCTGTCTAAACGCCCCCCTCAAAAATTCTGTCACTCTAATTAAGGTAAAATACACACACACACACACACACACACACACATGCACATACGCACACATATTTAATTTGTATTGAGCTGGGGATTTTGCTCAGCAGCACCGCACCTGCTTGCAAGTGCAAGGTCCCAAGTTTGATATCAGGTACCAGAAAAAATTTTATACATTTTTTTTGGGGGGGGCACCAGGGATCGAACTTGGGTCCTTGTGCTTGCAAGGCAGGCAGTGGAACCACAAGCTAAATCCCTGGCCCATTGTACATGTATTTTTGTACTCATTTTTTTGTGTGTGTGTCTGTGTGTGTGTGTGTGTGTGTGTACTGGGGATCGAATTTGGGACCTGGAGCTTGCAAGGCAGGCAGCGAAATCACTGAGCTAAATCCCCAGCTATGCATGTATTTTTAATCCTTTTTTTTTTAATAGTGCTGGTGATTGAACCCAGGGCCTTAACAGAGCTACATTCCCAGTTCCCCACCCCTCTTTAAAAAAATTCTTTTGTGGGGCTGATTTAGCTCAGTAGTTCTGCCACATGCCTCACAAATGCAAAGACCCAAATTCTAAAAAAAAAAAAAAAAAAAAAAATTTTTTTTTTTTTTTGCAGGGTGTGGTGGCACACGTCTGTAATCCCAGCACTCGGGAGGCTGAGGCAGGAGGATCTCTGTGATCCAGACGGCCTGGACTACATAGTGAGTTCTAGGTCAGTCTCAACTTCATAGTGAGACCCTGTCTCAAAAATAAAAAAAGAATGTTTTTAAATTTTGAGACAGGGCACTAAATTGCTAAGGTACCAAGCTAGGCTTGAATTTGCAGTCCTCCTGCTTCAGCCTCTCAGTGCTCCAGGATTGTAGGTTTGCATCACCATGCCCAGCTATTAAGCGGTTTTAAGTTGTATTTCACTGATGGCTTGATGGTCAAGCACCTCTTCATGCATTTATTAGCTATTAGCTATTTAAATTTCTTCTGAAAATTGTTTTTCATATCCTTTGCTCATTTTTGTTTAGTTCTTTATTGATCTGCATTTTCATACTTTAATATCTTTAGGTATGTCACAATTTTACTGTAACTTGTTCCCACTTTTAATGTTCCTAGAGACTCTGGCATTTAGAAGTTATACATTGTAGCTGAGTGCAATCCCAGTACTAGGGAGGCTGAGGCAGGAGGACTGCCACGTTTGAGGCCAGCCTGGGATATATAGGGAAACACTGTCTCAAAAAACAACCAAATATTAACTTTTACATTGTAGTTAAATGTTTTTTTTGGGGGGTAGGTGGGTACTAGGGAATGAACCCAGGGCCTCAGGCTGAGCTACATCACAAACCTTTTCATTTTTTGAGACAAGGTCTCTCCAAGTTGCCCAGGCTGAGCTGAAACTTGCAACCCTCCTGTCTCAGCCTCCCAAAATTCTGGAACTACAGGTGTGTGCCACCACACCTGGCTTGTCCTCATTTCATTTATGGATCTTACTCTGAAAAAGGTGAAACCCTTAAATTACAGGCAAAGGTTGTCCCAAGGATTACACATGGCCTCTTCCCGTCCTCTCTGTAATGGTGCTAGCTTTAACCTGAGCCCAGAGCAGCTCTAAGCACTTGGCCACAGCACCAGCGATTTCCACTTTGCCAGGGAAGCCTCAGCAAAGTTCAAGAAACTTCCCCTCATGGCCTGGCCTGGTGGTGCAGCACTCGGGAGGCTGAGGCAGGAGGATCGCTGTGAGTTTGAGACCAGCCTGGGCTACATAGTGAGTTCCAGGTCACTCTCAACTAGGTAGTGAGACCCTGTCTCAAAAAAAAGCTGCCCCTTCACAGGTTTTTCTTCCTTTAGTCTGTAAAAAAAAAAAAAAAAAGCAAGTAGGAATGCAAGGTTGCTTCAAGGTAAGCAAATACAACAACGCAACAGACTAAAGGAAGAAAAACCTGTGAAGGGGCAGCTTTTTTTTGAGACAGGGTCTCACTACCTAGTTGAGAGTGACCTGGAACTCACTATGTAGCCCAGGCTGGTCTTGAACTCACAGCGATCCTCCTGCCTCAGCCTCCCGAGTGCTGGGATTACAGGCGTGCACCACCACGCCCCGCTCAAACACTGGTTTAAATGTAGAGCTTCACTCAACTACTTCAACTTGCTAGTATTTTTAATTTTATATCTTTGTTCATAGGAGGTGTGACTGAAAAACACATTAATGAAAAATTACAGTAAAATGTATTCATTAAGCGCCCTCATAATCTTCCCTCTCACTTCACATTCGTCCCACTTTTTGGCCTTTTTTTGAGACAGGGTCTGTGTAGCCCAGGCTGGCCTCCTACTTGTGGCCACCCTAACCCTCAGTCTCCCCAGTGTCGTGTAGCTGTGTGCCACCACACTCAGTTACATCTGACACCTCTAAGAAATATCGCTGCCTACTTCATATTTCTACCACGGCGCGGATTCACGACTTTCACTCTGTGACTGTGAAAGTTCCCTACCTGTCCTTGGTGGACACCGCATTCAGGCTAATCTGAATCCATGCTCCTGAACCACCAACACTCATATTTGCCCCGAATAAACTATTTACTTGAAAAGAGTTGTTATTCTACGTCAACGATGACCTAAGAAGAAACTGAAAATATTAAGTGACTGAGGAACCAACCTATGGCCCTGCAGGGGGGCCTGTTTCCTTGTATGCAATGTGACATTTTAACAATATTTAAATTTAAAAGCTGCTTTGAAAAATCTATTATAGCCGGTGTGGTGACGCACACCTGTAATCCC